ATAACCAGTTTCAAGACTCGAGTAGGTGAGTATGTGAATGAGGGGAATGTATTGATGAGTCTAAATTATCCTCGAGATCCTTCATATCATGAATTATAACTCTTGAATTTATAATTCAAATTCAAAAAAGAGTTATGAGTAGAGTTTAATAAAGTCTTTAAGTTAAATTGTGGATCCTTTGAGATCAACTGTCAATTTTGAGCGCAGTTTTGCAGAAGTACATATGAGAATGAGAAGAGTTGTATACATGAGTCATCAATTGTAATGTGAACCCTTGAGTCAAGTCGCTCATGCCCAATAAATTCCACATGAAATCCATAACCTTTGAGATCAACTGTCAATTTTGAGCTATGTTTTGCAGAAGTACATATGAGAATGAGAAGAGTTGTATACATGAGTCACCAATTGTTATGTGAACCCTTGAGTCAAGTCTCTCATGCCCCAAAAATTCCACACGAACTTCATAAATTAAGTATCTTTGAGAGGCTTCAAGTCTTGAGTATTGAGTACCTAATTAACCCTTCTGAAATTATATTCCTAGTCATAGGAATACTACATGTTACCCATTAAGGTCCTTGAGTTGAGTATTTCATTCCCCTAATTCCTCATAAACCCTATGATTCGAACAATCTTGAGATGAGAAGTATCATTGGGTCCTTGAGTTTAGTAGTTCATGCCCGTAATTCAGCATGAACCCTATTTTGAGAAGTCTTTTATACCAGCTTTAAACTTGTTTTAAGATGTGAGAACTTGAGTTGAGGAAGACTAGAGTCAATTTTAATTTTCTTTAAAATAATAAATGGAAACTAAGTATTGCAAAGATTAAATGTTTTTAAATTTAAGATGAGAGGAAACACTAACTCCCTAAAGAGTTTTGAGCAGTTTTTAGTACCATCTCTTTTAAGAGAAATATTTTTGATTAATAATCTCAAACTACAAAATGAGTAATGTTCTCAAACATATAACCTAGTTATATTTTTGGAGTAGTATTGAGTACCAATATGGAGAAGAGTTAAGACAACTAGCATGTCGCATCCCAAGATTTGAAGATACTAGTCCATGGTTGAAAAGAAGTATGCCCAACGTCAACAAGAATTCTGCCGATTATGTTATTGCTATGTTTCTTTGAAAATGCACATTTAATCTCTTATATCCATTTTGTCGCACCTTCCCTTGTAATGAACTAAGTTTGACCTGAATTCTCAAGAATGAGATACGTAGGCGGCCTGTATCGGCCTCGGTCACCCTTTTATTCAACTTCCAATATTTCCTTTTATATTTGAACTACGTTCGACCTGAATTCTCGAGAATGAGATACGTAGACAGCCTATGTTGTCCTTGGTCGTTTCCTTTATCAAAATTTCCTATTTTGATTGATCCTTGAGAAGGGAACTACGTTTCACCTGATTACTGCTCCAACGGGATACATAGGTGCCACAACCGCTCGGTCATATACCTAGTAAGATTTCCATTTCTCTTTATAGTTGAAATTGGGATAAAATTTTTGAGAGGATCTCAAAAATTTATTTGAATATGGACTTCTTCGACAAATTATAACTGAAATGTTAAAAACAACTAGTATACATTTGGGTAAATCTCAAAATTCCCCAAGATGACATGTTATGAATAATCAAGTCGAAAATCTTGTCGAAATCTGCAATCGGAACAAATATGTTGAGTTGATATCATAATTCCACACAACAATGTCCTTTATTAAAAGTTTTATATTTATTGAGGCAAACTAGGACAAATTTTGAGGAGGGGCTTCAAAATTCCTGAATGGGCAACCTCTAAATTAACAAAGGGTGTTACGAGAGTTAAATTTATTTTAGACCGGGATAGAATTTTTTAGGAGGGTCCTCAAAGATTCCATCAATATTTTCTTACAAAGGACGGACGAGCGTGTAATTTCACATGAAGGAGCGTGGAGAGAAGACCAACACAAATCAGTCTCTCAAACTATGAATTTTTCTTTGAATGCAGGAACAATGAAGTCACAAAAATGACAATGTTAAAGCTGTGAAGCACAGAAAAAGATTTACGCCTCTCGTGACCTCATCAACTTAACTAGATAACTTTCCATCTAAATTTACCTTTATTTCAATACGTTGCCTCAAGTGATTTGTAAACAATTTCTTTTTTATGTTGCAGGAATGTTGAAGTCAAACACTAATATATTCTTTCAAAGGTGTAAGAAACAAAGTGTTAGATAATCGCTAATCACGAGTCATGATCAAATTTTTATAATTAGGCTCATCATAGCCTAATCTCGATAAGAAAAATGACTTAATCTAGTTCTTCAACTTGACTTTTATCCTTTACTTCATCGTCGATATTGACGTGTGGTGTCAAGCTTCGTAGTTAATAGTATTGGTAAAATCAAAATCGTATGTGAAATCGACATCAAATCTGAAGATGATCAAAAGTGACATTATTTTAGATGTGTTGCAAGGGAAGATAAACGATCCCATCACATTATAAAGATGTTGGTGATCCTAATATCTTCTTGACAGTTAAAATGATTGAATTGTTATAAGTTTTCGATAACAATTGAAAATAACTGTAACAAACTCGAATTCTGTTGAGTTCGTCATGGAAGACTAGAGTGACTTTAATTTTCATTTGAATAAATTAATTTATTCATCTCAATAATTCTGTATTTTGAAAAAAGAATTGAAGTCACGACGTTCATATACATCTATTTAGTTTTTAGTATGTTTGTCGCGTAACAATTTAGGCATACGCGTTTCTTGAAAATGTTAGAGTCAATATTCCAACTTCCTGGGTAGCCACCCTATAAGTGGATTATGTGTTTTTATTAGACAATCAAAGACTTTCGCATATAGTTTTGTTGGGCGATCAACCCCATTAGTGGTTCGTATTTTGTTCTTCCATTTCAGGTTCATATTTTTGAATTTTATTGGAATATTATAGAGCATCCACCTTGTTGCAGTTGGAATATTGTCGAGCATCCACCTCATTACAGCTGGAATATTATCAAGCATCCACCTCGTTACAGTTGGACTATAATCGAGTCATCCACCTCGTTACAGTTGCATTATTATCGAGCATCCACCTCGTTACAATTCAAATATTATCAAGCCATCCACCTTGTTAAATATGGAATATTATCTAGCTATCAACCTCATCACATTAGACTATTATCGAGCATCCACCTCGTTATACTTGGAATATTATCGAGTATATACCTTATTACAGTTGGAATTTTATCGAGTCATCCACCTCATTGCAGTTTTGACTATTATCGAGCCATCTACCTCGTTACAGATAGAATATTATTGAGCCATCAACCTTGTTACAGTTGGACTATCATCGAGCAACCACCTCATTACAGTTCGAATAGTATCGAGCCACCCACATCATTATAGATGGAATATTATTGAGTCATCCACCTCGTTACAGTTGGACTATTATTGAGCTATCCACATTGTTATTGATGAAATATTATCGAGCATCCACCTCATACAATTAGAATATTATCGAGCCATCCACCTCGTTACAAATGAAATATTATCGAGCATCCACCTAGTTACAGATGGAATATTATAAAGTCATTTACCTCGTTATTGTTAGATTATTATTGAGTCATCTAGCCCGCTGCATCGATCACTGGAGTTTACCATGCAGAAAATAAACAATGATGTCTCCAAATCCTCAGCAAATCATGAGTTGTAATGGACATATTGTGTTCGAAAGAGACATATATTGAACATACTTAGATGATATTTTTTCACAACTAGAATAACCAAAAAGCATCGTAAGTGATACTATCACTTTTGCAGTTACATTTTCTACTAAGAAGTTGTTTAGTCTTTGTCGAAAGCATCCAAGAGGATGAATTCTCAAATCAAACATCAACATGGATGCAACAAAAATGGAACTTTTTCTTAGCAGCGAACTGATATATATTCCTAAAAGGAGTATCAAACTCTTAGGACGCAAGCTGAGGAACGATTTTCACCACAGTCAAAACATACCCATATAAAAAGGCATGTGGGCACCGAAAACAAATTTCCAATCCAAGTGACAATGCACCAAGAGTTTTGAAAATTATGTCCGTGTAAGTTCTTAATTATAGATGTGAAGAGCTCCACCATCACGGATAAGAGGTTGCAAGCCCCTTTTTCATACTCAACTTCATTTGTCACTTATCAAGAACCAAAAATTATGTAGAATAATAGATTTTCTTTTCAATCGGTCGAGTCGAACTATAAGAAGCTGGATTCCTTAAGTTGAGGGATATGTACGAGAGATCAATGTCTCAGTTGTATTCAAACATTTGCTATTAAATCTTATACTCGAGTATTTCGATCCTTTCATAATTCAGTATTGGGCTGACTTTTGAATTCTTTCAAATCTGCGTTAAATCAAACGTAGCGAACTACAAGTGTCCTGAATTCTCATATAGCCTGAGATATGTAGGATACTCATTACCGGGGTTCGGTCATAATTCCTAAAGTTTGTACAAGAATTCCTTTTTCAGAAAAGTTGAATATGTGGTCGGACAAAATTGGCTTAGTTAATTTCACTTTCGTCGAATTTCTAGCATCAACCCGAATAAAATGATGGATAGTTGTAGACGCCAAATTTCGGACCTCTATAATATAAATTAATCATTTCGGGCTTCTTCAATTTCAAACGATTTAAAAAAAATCAGTTTCAAAAAATTTTAAAACAATAATAATATAATAATAATATAAAGTTTGCAAGTTATTTTAAATAGTTTTGTTCCTTCTTATATTTTTCTAAATAATATATATGTTTTAGGCAATTATTAATATAATTAATATATTTTATGATTATTCGAAAATCATCTCAAAAGAATTTGTTTTAATTAAATATTTCATTATTTAGTTTAGTGATTATATTTTTAAATTCATTAGTTTATGATCAAGTTTGTTATTTTATTTCGTTAAAACTAAGAGGCCTGCTAATTAATTTATGTTGATTCATTTTTTTCTAGTTTGGATTGAATTTGACCATTTTTTCAATATTAAACGCATCAAAGAACAAGCTTTGGGACTTATTCTTTTATATTTCAGTAGCCTATTTCTCAAATTCTTCAAACAACTTTCCCAGCCCATTCCTTGACTCAATTCAGATTCTTCGACAAAATAAGAGACAAATTACAAAATCAACCCAGAAACGAAGCAAAATCCAGATAGAAAAATCGTGACCCGACCCCTGCGCCATCATCTTCTTCTCCGCATGAATCCAGACTCGAAAAATCCAGAAACGTGATTTTTGCCAGAATCTAGTCCAGCGCGTCGTTCTCTCCTCTCTCCTCATCATCTCTGTACATCATATTGTCGGTTAGTCTAGGTGGAGCAATCACACGCGAGAATCGTCCTTGCTTTATGAATCAGACAACTCCCTTCTTTTTTCCGTTGACAATTCATACATAAATTCAAGCTGGCAGCCTGGTCCCCAGATTATATTGTATTTCGAATTTGATTTTGTCCCTTTTCCCCCTAAAAAAAGTCAACCCTAATTTCCTGCTTTATAAGCTCCTTTTTTTCTTCATGATTTGGGAGTTGGGAAAATTCCAAACTAAGTTGTTTATTCATATAGGAATAGAGAGGAGTCATTTATATAGAAATATAGTTACAGTAAAGATAACATTCAAATATTAGAGGAGGACACCTATTCGATCAGAACTTCGTTTGCTTAGCATATTTCTGTCAATTTTCTTTCGAAGTGCACGATGGTGGTGAAGTTGCTGCTTCGCTCGTCTCGTCCTAGTCGCTGCTCAAAAAAGGTAATACATCTTCCTTTGTTTTGCATATCATTTCGATTTTTAGTAATATGGTGATGAATCTGCCTCTGTTGGATTTATCATGCCTTTGTTATTGCTCGATTGGAATGTTGTTATTCATGGCTCATTGTCTTTACTACTGATATTTGTGGCTGATTACTGTCAGGTTACTGTGCAATTCATTTGAAGCCTTAAAAAGACCTTTTTGAACATGAGAAAGCTAAAAAAAATGTTAATAGGAAAATAAGGAAAAATATATGTGTGAAACCATGCATTGTGTTGTTCTTTGTGAGTCTGATTGTTGTATCTCATTCAAAAATCGTAAATGATTATATATAATGTGTGTGAGAATGGAATCATCATTTGTGTGAAGGAATTTGAATGTATTTATTTATCTTGAACTTGCATCTGAAATAAGTATTGCGAGCTTGAGAATGCTTGGTAATGGATTGTCATAACTTGAATATTTGGGTACATAATTCATCCTTTCATAGATAAATCGAGTTTTGTTGTGTACATTTATTAATGAATCTTGTGTAACATTGTTTGAGACACTTTTTTTTTGAAATGCTGAACTTGAGTTTTACTTGAGGACAAACAAAATTTTAATTTAGTGGTGTTGATGAGTCTACAGATTGGACTCATTTAGGACTATATTTTGATAGAAATAGTGTCCCTAAATACCGGTTTTGTCTCAATTACTGATGAATAACCTTGAGTTTCAAGTATTTTGAGTTTGAGGCGGACACTACTTGGAAAAAAAGAGCAAAAAGGATGAAAATAATGAAGAAATGAAGGACTGAGGATCGCCGAGTCCATTTGGGGAATAGTTGAAAGGTCTAAAGATCGCCTTTTATTCTAGTGTGTTGAGCAATGCAGGAAAGGATCAATTGATGGTGAAAAAAAGCAGTCTGTGCATTACTGAATAGTTCTGTGAAGTAGTTCTTATCATATAGTAATCCAGAACGTGAGGATGCTTTGAATAAGTGCAAGACAGTGATGAAGTTGTGCAAGGGTAAATCCCGACTTGATCGGTGATTCTAACTAATTGCGCTGAGTTATCCGCTGCAGCACTAATCTTTGAAAAATATAAATACTATTTAGTGTTTTATCTTAGTATCGATATTTAATAGACTTATATCAATATTTTTCAATTTTTGAGCTCTAAGTTTGAGATGGTTGTTGGAGAATAACATGAAGATCAAAAGGGTTTCATCTCCAAGGATTTGGTCTTGAGTCTCTTTGCTTCTTCATTCTTGACCTGTAACAAGACTTAAATCTTCGTAACCATTTGAATTCAAGATCATTTTGGTATAAATTTTTGTCACTTGTTCATGTCTAGATAAAACCCCAATTCTTGGGGTGTAATTTTGTTAATATGGGTTAAATTAGATGTTGGGAATTCCTTGTTGATAGTTTATTTGTAGTTTTATTGTTATTTGATTTAGTAACTGTGGATGAATATAATGATTCTGTAGTTGTAAATATAATCTCACATATGTGTTTCGGCGTGCTTGACTGAGAGGTCGAGAAAGTAGGACTACTAAATTGATGGCCGGTGGGAGTGGGTCGTCATGAGGTTCAACTAGAGAAAGTGAACCCTATTCTCACACCAAACACTCAGCTCGAGAGAGTGAGTGGGTTAAGACGAAGGTTGTTCTTAATGCGGCAAGTGGGTGTCCAAGAGGAACCCATTTGAGATGGGGTAAGTTGCTCGAGATAAATCTTATCCCCCTTAAAGTATTGCCTAGTCGCATTTACTCTAAGAATTTTTTATGAAAAACATGTATGTAGTAATCTCGTTTATGTTGTATTCCTATCAAGTCCCATGAATTCCCCCTCTCCTTGATATAGAACTCTTTGTTGATTTCGCTGTTTCTGACTTACTTTTTGTGATGAAATGGTTCACGCTCACATCACCATTTTTATTTAATATGTTTTTATTCAATGACTTCTTTAGCTATGGCTAGTTAGAACTTGATTTTACTTTTATATTGTTTCTCAAAACCACTCCTTGCGGAAAGGACCCCAACCCTTGGTTTGATTACTATACTACGGTATGATCGTCAACACTTTCACTAGAAGTTGTATCTTTGATGATGTCATCGATCATAGCCTTTGATAAAAATAGCAATTGGTCAAGTTATTTTACTTAAAATTATAACAATTTTTTCACAATACATATTTATATGAATTAGGGAGAAACTTCATAAAAGTAAAATTAATGATTCATATAAATCACTTAGTGAGAAATGTCCCGACGTAATCAACCGAGAAACACAATCTTGTTATATAAGAAAAGAAACTATTGCCTTTTCTAATGATAGTATTGTTTTATGATTTCATGGCTAAAAAGTTCATCAAATGAATGGTAATTAAGGTAAATATATGACACCTAGACTCAAATCAACCCCACCTCATGAGCGGTGATTTATCCATTTTCATATAAAGAGTCCGATTTCTTATCCTTCTTTCGATGTGGGATTTCTTAACATTTCCATGTACGCTGAGATCTCAAATAGAGAGTGAACCGTTATAAATGGGGACCCAAAACTGGCTAACAACAAACTTAATAAATCTAACTCTAATAAAAATAAAGATCTGACACCTGAGTTTACCTCAACCTTAAAAGCTAGTTCATGAAGGGAGGTGTTTCCAAGTCCATATAAGGAGTCCAAATTTCCATTCCACTTTGAATGTATGACTTATTAACAAATACAATTGAAATTATTGAAAATAAAATGTGACCTAATGTGTGATATGTTGAGTTTTAAAAGTGTAAACAAGAAATGAAGGGTCGTGACTATGTCAAAAGGTTGTGAGTATGTCGAAAGGTTGTGTCCCTTCTAATGTGTTTTGACCGTTTGAAAGGTTATGCCTTTTCCAAAGTGTTGTGACCTTTCTAAAAGGTTGTTTCTTTCAAAATAGTTGTGACCTTTACTTTACCCTTTGTTGGCTATATATAGAGGTTTTCTCTAATATTTTTTAATCAAATTCTCCCTTATTTTACATACATTTCTTACAAAATAAAATTGATCGATTATATCAGTGTGAGTGATTTGTTGGTGTCATTTTAGGTTCGTTAAAATTATCGAAGTTTGAGATACGACTCTTCTTTAATGGTTAATCTGTTTTTAATTGGGTGGAATTAAACTACAATATCAGGTACTTGAGGGGATTAAATTTTTTAAGGAAGCATAGTGGATTCTGTTGACTCATAGTTCTTTGTTTTTTTTCTTTTCATATTTTATTATATCTGGTTTTCGAAGATGCATACACAATATAACAAGCTTAAGATATTTATTATTGATGGTGTTTCCTGTGGTGAGGAAATTACTTTTATTTTATGTGTTCATTTTGTTGAAAATAAAAATTAAAGAGAATTATTTTATCATATGATAAAAGAGATTTGAGATGAATTAGTATTACTTTAATATGTTAGACTATATTTTCTGTAGTATGTCTTTCTTGGATGGGTAAGATTATTTTATTTTCTTCCCAAGTGAATTGAAGCACTTCACCCTTAGTTTTTTTTTTAAAAAAGAAAAGTTAATTTGTGCATAAAGGTTAAAATATGGACTTAAATTTTTTCTACATTCTTTCTTTTATATAACCATTAGAAGAAGTAAATGAACATATGTCGTCTACTAATAATATTTGAACATGATTTTAGTTTCTTGTTGAAGTTCAATGTCTTCTTAGGGAAATTGAAATATGCTGAAAACTTGGAAAGAAGAAAAATAATTAACAAGAAGTGACTTGCATGAAATCATTGCTGACAAATAGAATATGATTCAATGGGGGTAAAAATCATATTTTATCTTTATTTTCCTTGATTTTTTTCTATCCTTTATAATTTGTGAAATTTATTTCATAAATTTTAGAATAGATGGTGATTATGTGATAATCTCAAAATACTTTTATATTGCTATTCATATTTATTCTGTTTAGAGGAGGAAAAAACTTTTGCAGTTTTCTACTCCATGTGAAATTTGATTGTCTCACTTTTGGCGACTAACATTCTCTTATTTTTTACTCCTTTGGTTTGAAGAATATACGTACTTCATGATCAAATCGAATTGTGCATTGATTTGAAGAATATCGAGACTTCACCAATTTGTTAAATACTTTGTTTGAGTGAACGTTTTGACTCGATTACAAAATCTTCTTTAGGATATTAAGTTTAAATGATTTGAAAAATATAAAAAAACCATCGTTTTATAGAAACAATGTTGTATTTGAGGTTTATAATGATTAAAACCTTTTTAGTTCACTACACTGTTTGAATGTGAAACTGATTCAAAGAGTATAGAAATTTCATAAGGATTCAAGGTTCATTCGGTTAAAGATTATCAAAATATTAAAACTTCATCGTTAAACTAGAAACAAGTTTAATAAAGATTGAGTCTTCATTGTTAGTATTCTAAATACTAAGTGGTCTGTCTAATTATAATAGAGAGGAAAAACACACTAGTGATATTTAATTAGTAAATTTTGTTCGTGCAATGGGTGTTTCTATGCATTGAATATCCAAAAGATGATTGTGTTACCAATTTATATTTTGATGGTATTCAATTTGAAAGCATGGGGAAAACTATGTGAAAAAATAATTTCAAATACTTGAAATATATTTTTGAGAGCATATTTTAAATGTAGGGGGTTTTCAGTTGTGATAAAGAAAAAATTTGATATAATATCTAATTTAAATTCAGAAGTAAAAGGTATGAATTTTAATGATATTCTTGTATTAAGTTAGACCCATAAAATTTTTGGAGTATATTTGATATAGTGGTCGTTGAGTATCTCTTTACTAGTATATGATATAACTAGTATAAAACTACAAAATTATATTACTCGTTTAAAAGAATTATGTTCTTTGATGAAAAAGTCAAATATAATACTGTTATTTTTCATGAAATAATGTCTATTTTGTAAAGACGTGACAATTGGTGAAAAGTTACATGATATGTTTATATTGTAAAACAAATATTTCGGTCATATTGCCCCTAGTGGGCTGAACACACTATGATCATTAGTATCTATATAACAAATTAAATGTTATAAAAAGTACTACAAAGGAAATTTAACAAGGTGTTGATTCTAAAACAATATCTGTATTTGACAAAGTTGCTAACGTAAAGAATAAAATATTTGTAGGAAAAGTTACCTCACGGAAGGTCTTTTTAAATCTATTTTTTTGATTGTTCTTACATACTTGAATTAAATAGATTTACACAGATACTTTTGATATGAAGCCAACACCATCTCTAATTGTTTCATAAGTTTTATAAACAATTGAACTAGATATTGTTATGTCTATTTGCTGAATAGGAAGAATGAACAATACAAACATATAGGAAATATAAAACTGAAGTTAAAAATTAGTTGGATATGATTTTTCATGATTAGTAGTGGTAGACCTGAAGAATATGAATCTTCTTTTGCAGAAATATATTTGGAAGATGAAATCATCCATCAAATTATTACACATACTGACCTCAATCCAATGAAGTTTTTGACAGAAAAAACAAGACATTGAAGGAAATGTTGAATTTCGTAGTTATAAGGTCAGGTTTGCCAAAAAATTTGTGGGTGTGCTATCATTATAGAAATAGAAAACAAAAAGTTTGTATGTTCAGAAAGAGGGGAACAAAATTTTATTTATTGGTAAAGGGAGAAAAAAGTTTAAAAAACATTTGTTTTTTAAGAAAGGAAGAAACAAAATATTTTGTTTGTTCAGGTTTTGTTGTATCCCTATAGAGAACTGTTTATTGCCCCTTCAAGTATATACAAGCAATGACTCTTGAAACATAGTGATCTAACAATTTTCAATACAATATATTTTATATGAGAAATGGAATTGAGGGAACTATTTCCAAACATGTCAAAATAGGACCTAATACTGTGAATTGTTTGTTCATTGGATATGCTACAAATAGTAAAACATGTTAATTGGTGGGTCATATTTCCGAACTATTGAATAGTTCAGTGAAGGGTGTAAATGATCTTGGAAAGAATAAAAGGAGAATCTACTTAATAAAGAGATTCAAAGGTGTAGTAAATGTCAATGGATAAATTATTTTCTTTGAGTTTGATTTTGTAACATTTCTTCCTTAAAATAAGTTTATGAATAAAATCTGCCCTCTGTGGAATCATTCTTTTTGAAAAAAACAATGTTAATAGTTAGACAGATTCAATGTTGAGCAACCGTACTTGAGAGTTAACTTATCTTCCTCCACGAAAAATATTTTTGGATTCATCGTGGATCTACAGAAGGAAAAGAAAGTTGATGAAACTATTGACAAATACAAAGCAAGACATTTTGTCATAGGCATTACACAATAATAAAACCTTGATTCTGACACATGATATGAACTCACTAGGATTTAAGCAATTAAGATGCTAATTGGCACTACTTGAGGTATATGACTTCAAATTTGTATAAATGTAACGACCTATTTAGTCGTTTTGAGCAGCAAATTTTATTTCTGGAAAAACAGGCTGAGGCGACAGACCCAACGACGGACCGTCATGGGCACGACGGACCGTCGCAGGGCCTCGTTTCAAAACACTTAGAAAAACTGAAAATTGGGTACTGAAAAGCGACTCTCTGAACTTCGTAACGAAATGGCAGGACGGACCGTCACAGGTGTGACGGACCGTCACAGGTGTGACGGACCGTCACAGACCCTTGGTGGAAATTTGGGTCTCTGAACTTTGCGACGACCTGCAGGACGGACCGTCGCAGGCACGACGGCCCGTCACAGGTTGCGCAATCCCAGTCCAGGTCGGATTTCTTTATATGTTTTAAGGGACGTTTTTGACTATTCCTGCCTTAATTATAAAGTTAGTTGGTTAATGTTAATAAGTCTAATTACTTGGGGGTTAAAAGAGTTAACCTTAAGTTAATTAGTAGGGTATTACTGCCATCTTTTATCCTTAATTATATGTTAATTAGGGTAAAATAAAGAGGGTGTGAATAAAAAAAAAGAAAGAACAAAGAAAGACAGAAAAAGAAAGAGAACGAGTAGAGAGAGAGAGAAACGAAGAGGATAGCAAGGACTCTGAGAAGATAGCTTGTTGATCGCAATTCTTCGGTGGAGGTAGGTTATGGTTTTCATGCTTTCATAGTAAACTCTTAATAGAGAATGATATGTATTGATAGTATTGTAAACCCTGCTATGTGCTTAATTGTATGCATACATGAACGTGATTATATAATTGTGATTATATTAAGCTTGATGAAGTCATTGAATCCCAATTCTTGATAAAAACCTAATCTCTTTTTAATGATGATGCCTTGGTAAGGGAGAAGGCTTGATGAACTAAAGTAATGAGAGT